TTTACAGCCAAAAACAAAAATATGATTTCCTCTGCCCTCCTCTTGCTATCTTCTTGGTGGCCTTTTGAGGTTATCCTCATTTCACACATGTGAATGTTACATACCTTAAGGTCACATCCTTGATGCCTCCTCTTTTATTTTTGTTTGCTGTCTAAATTCTGGTTAATATCTCCCACATATTTCTTTCTTTTCCTACTACAATTACCTACCACTATTGCCTCTTTTCACTGATGTCTGTTGTCTGGATTATTTCAGTAGTATATTTAGGAGTTTTAAATTTGGATTTCATGAATAGACCCTCAAGGGACCTAAAAATAACCTCAAAATTATATAAATTTTTTGTATTATATATGCATTTGGGGGGGGGGGGAGAAGTACATTAGACTATTCCATGGGAAAGAAAGAGATAGAATGAGAGACTATGATAATTTAAAGAAGTAAGTTTCACTGATTGTTCTTTGCCTGCCCTTTGCTATTTAGTTCTCTAACCCAGGGCACTGATCTTTCAGTAGTAAGGGGTCATGTAAGGCATAGGAAAGTAATAGCAATCAGTACAGCTTAGCAGTCAGACAGCCCAGCAGCCAGAGATCAGAGGCTCTCCAACATCAGAACCATGCTTTAATCTCCTGGAGAAGCTCAGGAGGAAGATGGGGCATCCGCAGGGGCATCAGTATGGATGTGTCCTCCTGAGCCCTCTGGTCCCATTTGATCATGTGCTTCCAAATGGAGGGATATGCAAAACTTAATTGGTGAAAATCCAGAGCTAGCCAGTGAGGCAGTGTCCCCAGAAAAAAAGGTTAAGAACATCTCTTCAACTAGAATTCTACCCTCTCCCTCTTTGTTTGCTAGTCCTTCCTCCAATTACCGCCAGGCTTAGTCTTTAAGCACATATCTTATTATGCACCTTCCTTGGTTATAAAAACCTCAGGGTTTTTACAAAACATATTAAGAGCTCCTAGGCATGTTGTCAAGGCCTATGGTAGTTGGGATCCTGTCAGACGCATTTCCAGGCATTCCCCTCTCCCCACCTCTAAGGCTGAGCCACAACAGGTTACTACTAGCTGGTTGTTGTTGTTTTAATATTTTTATTGATTTCAGAGAGGAAGGGAGAGGGAGAGAGATAGAAACATCAATGATGAGGATCATTGATCAGCTGCCTCCTGCACGCACCCTACTGGGGATCAAGCCTCCAACCCTAGCATTTGCCCTTGATTGGAATAGAACCTGGGACCCTCCAGTCCACAGGTCAACACTTTATCCACTGAGCCAAACCATCTATGGCACTCCTGGCTGTTTTGAGAGGACAGTTACCTATGTCTATACCTCTGTGTCTTTGATCATTCCAGTCTCTCTTTTAAGGGTTCCATTTCCTCTCCATTGCCCAACCTTGAACCTCCTACTATGCTTCAAATTACCTGAATGTTACCTCTTCCCCTATGTACATCCCTAATTTTCTGCTATCATCCTGACAGAATCAAGTCTCTCTTGGCTAAGTTCCAAAACATTTTATACACATCTCTGATAATGTCATATTATATTGCAGATAACCCTTTTAAATTTCTGTCTATCCTACTAAACCTGGAATGCTCTGTAGGTAGGGATGGCCTTTTTCTTGTTTGTATCCCTAACATCTAGTTTCGTGCATAGTCTAAACAGGAGCTTAATACATTTTTGTTGGATGGAATTATTTTTGAAAAATTTTTATGACTCATTTAAAATTAGGGACCAATACTTATTTAATAAGTTAGAACAACTTATAATAATAATGGTAATAACAAAGTCTCGTTTCCACTGCTTGTTTAAGTAACTGCTTTCTTTGTGGTAGTGGATTTTGAAAATCTTCATATGTCAGTGTATATTTTTGATGTGCTTTCTTGAGATCCTAAAAGAATTATAGTTCTAATGCAGACTAGAGTTTCCGTGACATCTGTTGATGTTACATTGAATAGAGTCTGTCATTTCAGAAATCTGTATTATCCTCCTCCTATATAATAAAAGGGTAATATGCAAATCGACCTAAGGGCAGAATGACCAGTCCCTCTGATGCTCAATGCAGGAGCTGCCCTCTGGTGGTCAGTGCATTCCTACAGGGGGAGTGCCTCTCACCCAGAAGCCCAGAAGCCAGCTCATGCCTGGTGCAGCAGCAGTGGCAGGGAGCAAGCCTAAGTCGTCAGTTGGACATCCCCCGAGGACTCCAGGACTGCAAGAGGGCACAGGCCAAGCCAAGGGAACCCCTCCTCTTCCCAGTGCAGGAATCTTGTGCACCAGGCCTCTAGTATATAATAAATTCCATGGAAATGTGTTTTATCTCCCTCAAACTTCAGGGTACTATTTTGTGAATTACTTATTTTATAAAATCTGGGTCAATTTAATTCAAAACATATTAAATTGAGTATTTTCCATGTATAAAAACAGAGTTACGGTGTTAAGACTAGTATTTATATATCATGTAGTTTGTTTTGCTAAGTTTGCAAAGTCCCTATCATTGCAATTATGTTTTTTAGATAATTTAATTCAGCTATGTTATTTTACACTGTTCCATAAATTAAGAGCTTTAAACAAAAATTTTAAAAGGGTCTTTTCTCCCTCATTTTCTTTGAAGCTTTTTTTTTTTTTTTTTTTAAGGAATCCATAATTTACTTATTCAGCCATTTATTGAGTACATATTATGTGTTAGGCACTAGGCTGCATGTCTGCAATTCAGGATTGATGAGACAGTAACTACCCTTGAATAATGGAGAAGAAGGTAGATATACAAATAATTGGAATTTAAACCTTCGAGAAAGGAAGAAAACTCATCCTTTAGGAGCCAATGTTGATGTTGAGAATGGATGTGTCTGCAGATAAATTTGTAGATACGGAATCAGGAAGCTAAATGGAGTCCACAGTCTTTTTTTTTTTTTTTTTTTTTTTTTTTTTTTTTTTTAATATGTGAAGTAGGAATGTAGATCATCTTTAAGAATTAATGGCATGGGTAGCACTTGAGAAGAGAAGAACAGTGAATATCTGAATAATTACTAAGGAGAATGGGAGACAACTCACAAAAGCAAGTAAAGGATGGCATGCTGGACTGAGAAAGCAGTGAGAGTAGAACTAAAATTGGATGGGATGAAATTCTGAGGATATCAGCCAGTGGTATAATATTTTATGACTGTGCTCTGTGACCAGTGTGTAGGTGCAGTAAATCCATATTGTGTTCAGGGCTTATAGGATGGGTCTTCCAGGAGTATAAGAAGGCCAATGAGTTGAGAATCCTTGGGAGAAAAAAAAAAGTATGGCTTAATATGGAAGGAAGTATGGTTAGGGGGAAGTTGACAAATTTGGAGAAAGTTAAGAAAGTGGAGATGAGGACAAGGCCTGGTACTTTGTAGGTACGCAGCAAATCTTCATTTTCTTCTTTCTGGCTCTCCTCTCCCTATACCTGTTTCATCACCACTGTCACTTGCCTCTGCAGGTGTTTTATAAATAGGAATAGCTTCACATCATGATGGTAGCAGTTGGCTTGGAGGGGAAGATTAGGAGGCAGGTTCCAAAGTCCTCATCAAATGTGCCCCAGTCACTTGGATGCTGTAGGGCTTGGTGGTACTGACCTCTAGGAGAAGCTCAAGGCTTCCCCCTCATCTCCCTACAACTCATGTTTGAAAGGTGGGTTAAGGGCCAAGACATTTTATTAGGCTTGGGTTCTTTTTATTTTTATTTATTTTTATTTTTTGGCCATGGTTCTTAAGACAGGAATTTGCTCTGTGATGAGAGGATTAAGACAAAGCTTTCCACTAAGGTCCCCTAGTCTCTACAAGCACAGCTGTTACCATAAGCACAGATCTCATTACTTTCAGAGATTTAAAAGGGAGTCAGTCCTTTTTGACATAATGATAGAAGTAATGAACTTACTGGCAATCCAAAGGGTCTTCCTCCTCAGAATGTAAAATTTATAGGAGAGCTGGTTATAGCTTGTGATTTCTCTTTTGTGAGTTATTACATGTATTGTCCTCATTGAAAACATAATATATATATTCCATTTCCAGAAATTTTCTTTTTCATCCACACTTTTGAGTGTTAACACTGAAATCTAATAATTTTTTATTTCACAGTGTGCTTTTGGTGTAGGAGAAATAAAAACTCACTTTAAAAAAAGTCATGCATCTGAACTGTGAAACTGCTAGAAATGTGAAAATTCCTAGAGTGAGTAAACAGAAACCACAGGTCATCCTAATCTTAAGAAATGGAGTAAATGCTCATGTAGAGTTGTCTAAAGAAATCCTGGGACACCTAGATTATTATTCTTGTTATTTTCTATTAATGATACCTCAAAGGCATTTAGCAATGCTTGCCTAGAAAAGAAGTTTCCTTTGGAACTTCATCTGGGTGGCTACTTGGCATTAATCACGTGAAGTAGAACATTTAACTTTATCCACAAAGTCTATATCTATCTGGATCCTATGGATTGCTCTATGCCATCCAACATACACATGTTTGCCCTTTCTGCAAGTGCTTGTATTGACAGGTAACCTATAATTTCAATAACTAAGATAGAGTTTCCATAGCTTACTGTATCATAGAGATTTGTGTTAGGTTAAATTAACAAAAAAACAAAAACAAAACTAGATTTCCCCCTCTACCCCCGACTTTAAAGTAAAGAATAATGAAAAAATAAGTAATAGTTCCTAATTAGGTATTTAGTTTAAAGAGAGAGAGTTAAAAGTATTTGTACTAAATGATAGTTCAAATAATACTTTTCCAAAGACCTTTAATTGGCAGCTTCCCCTGAAAATATTGGTACTGGTTTAGGAATTGTTTCTGAATTTGGAGGGGAGAGGGAGGGGAGAAGGAGCTTCACTTGTTCATTCTTGTTCTATTCATGACACCTGGCTATTAATGTATGTTAATGGAATCATTGTACTTTTTATTACATGCATATGAAAAAGAAAGAAAACTTTCCTTTAGCTGTCTTACTTGGATTTTAGTTAGTTGACATAAGATTGTTTTCTTTTCCTTTTTAGGTTGCAAACATGTTAAAGGCATCCTGTTATATGGGCCCCCAGGTTGTGGTAAGACTCTCTTGGCTCGACAGATTGGCAAGATGTTGAATGCAAGAGAGCCCAAAGTGGTCAATGGGCCAGAAATTCTTAACAAATACGTGGGAGAATCAGAAGCTAACATTCGTAAACTCTTTGCTGATGCTGAAGAGGAGCAAAGGAGGGTAATGTTAATATAACTATATTTCAGTAAAAGTTTATGAACTTATAGGATGAATGAAACTCAGCATTATGGTGGAAAACTTGTTAGAACGGTCTATATTTTTAAAAACTTGAGGCTAAAGTTTATTTAGTACCAAGTTATGTCACTCAACCAGGATTATGGGGATTTACATGATGTCATTACCCACATGTTCATAATACAAAGATAGATGATTGTATAAGCCAAAAGTTTTACAAAAACGAATCATGAATATATTTTCAGGTGACACTTTTATTCCACATTACTTCCAGAGACTTGAACTCATCCTTTGGAAAGGGAGGAATTAAATCTATAAAGAGGAATTATGTGTATGTTAGGTCCATGTGCAGAAAGCTAGCTTATTTCCCAATGAGTCTGCTCAATTGTAGAGTGACAGGTATGAGTTGTTAGGTCCCAGAGGCAAGCTTGATTTGAGTCTTAGAAAAATAATAAAATTAATTAAAAATAAAACCAGAGTTTACTATGTGGTGGTTAATTTTATGTGTCAATTTGTCTAGGCCTCAGGGTGCCAAGACATTTGGTTAAACATTATTCTGAGTGTTTTTGTGGGAATATTTCTGGATGAGATTATCATTTGAATCAGCAGACTGAGTAATGCAATTGCCCTCCCTAATATGGGTGGCCTACCCAATCAGTTGAAGGCCTGAATAGAATAGAAATATCTTTAGATCTTGGGACTTGTCATTACCATAATTGTGTTAGCTAATTCCTTATAATTAATCTTTCTATTGCTAGCTAGCTAGCTGGATTGATAAATAGATATCTAGATCTCTATCTAGATATTTAGATCTACATACTATATATCTGTATATTTTCAGGTGACTAATAGGGTGGATCTTGGTTCTATTACACTAGAAAACCAAACTAATCTACTAATATTTGTTTCATTGGTAGAGTGTTTAAAATAATGCCATGGGATTTTGTTTCTGGCAATATAGTAGACTAGGCAAATTGAAACTTTCCTTCTACAAACACTTTCATATGCTGGGTAAAATATAAAAAATCATTTTAAATGCATAACTGTGCTCTCAGGAAAGAAAATGAAATCTTCAGAAATGTAAAGAAAACTGAACATTTGAATGATAAAGATATGAGCTGAAGCTTTGGTTTTGGTAATATGTGAGTTTGGTAATATACTGAGAGCAGAAAATGAGTCCTTGAACCCACTTAAAGAATGGATTAGGAACTGGAACCTTCAAAGGGATTGTATTCTGAATGAAAAGAATTATCTTAAAGGTATTTGTCTACCAGCACAGAGAAATAAAAACATTTAACAACCTTGGGTCTGAAGTAGAAGCTAAGGAATCTCTCATGGCCATTCTAAACTGTGAATCCCTGACTTATGCTTATGATTTAAACACAAAACAGCAGCAACAACAGCAACAGAAACCATTCCATCTGTGGTCTGGGTCCCCAAGCTGAGAAATTAATTTGAAAATGAATCCTTGGCTAATGATACCATAGGGCTGTTAGATATGAGCAGACCCTAAGGAATGCTCCAATAGCCAAGGCCATAAGAGCTTCTCATAGGGGAAGCTAAAATAGTTTCAATAAATAGAAAATATTATCAAAATTTAAAGCTCAGCAACCAGGTTAAACATAAGCCAGTAGTTTCAGCTGAAGAAAGAAGTGACAAACAGGAGAATAAGATCTAAAAAAATCATCCAGAATGTAGCACAGAGATAAAGGGGAAATATGAAAGAGAAATAGAGATAACAAAGTTAAAATGCAAAGTCCAAATAAAGTAGTATAGAAGCGATATTCAAAGATAGAATCTCTTGAGAATTTTCTAGAATGTTGGAATAGAATAATATAGCTTAGATTTATAAAAAGATCCAGTGGACCCATATGGTAATTGCCAGATAGAATGAGTGTTATTTTATTTTTTAAAATATATTTTCCTTTTTGGTCTGTGGAAGACTTCTAAGAAAAAAAGTCATGAGATATCAATCTTTATAAATAAACTTGCAGACAGTTTAAATATGACACAGTTAATGATAATGTTGAGTTGGCAGAGAATTTCTAAGTAGGGAATTTCATAGCCAGCCTTTTCAGTTATAGCTTTCTCAAGTCTTACATCCAGAAATGGCTTGGTATACTCAGCTAATGAACTCATGGAGGGTATATGTGTGTTACATAATAAAGAAAAGCATCACCTCTGTGATTTTGGACAATCCGGGCTGACAGAGATGAGCACTTGCATATAGGTCAAACAAGTTAAATATAGAACTGTGGTTTTCAAAGCTGTTGCCAGGAGCTCAATAGCATCAGCTCTGTTTCTATGGGGGAATACTTTTCAGATGGTAAGAACAGAACTAAAAGCCAGCAAGTTGAAGAGAATTGCATTATGGAAATTCAAACTCTTGGGTAAAGGGTTTATTGATGATTCAGCTACATTAATCTGTAGCTGAATCATCAATTTGACATCTTTCTTACCTGACTCCTAATTTATTGCAATAAGAATTTGGCTTTATTTAAATAACACACCTGTAAAAGTTGATGTTATACTGACTAGGTTGGGGGGAAGGGACTTGATGACAGGTCACAAGATTAATAAGGTTCTGAAAAGGTCAGAATTGTACTGAATTATGTTTAGGACAGATTGTTCCTGTGATCATTTAATCAAACACAGTGTTCTTATTGTCTCTGGCTTCCCTTTCCACAGAAATGATATTTGAGGTTGGCCTGAGAAGGAAGTCATGATTCCATTGGCAACATAAGGCACATTGACAGCAAAATTCATACATTATAGCAGCTGTTTGTTTCATGCTCTATTGGTAGACAACCTTGAATAAAAATCTTATAAAAATAATGTAGCATCACAGTTTTTCAATCATAAAAAGGATGTCCTTGTTTTGTACCAAAGACAGCAAGAATTAATACCCTTTATAGAAGTGTTTGGTAATGCTAAGATTGTAGTTCCAATTCCTCCTTCTCAGTCCTTTCTACAAATGGAAAGATGAACAGTTTTTGGTGTTTAATTTTTTTGAACAGCAAGCTATCATTTAGCATCAGACATCTGTTCAATAAATATGATGATGTTAAAAAATTACTTTTTTCAAATTTGAATTTACTTTTTAAAACATTGGTGGAAGGAGAACAATTTGTGAGTAATGTGTTTCTATTTATTATTCTGAAGTAGTATAGACTTTCTTCCGGTATACAGTTTTATGAATTTTAGTATATATAGTTTTATGTAACCACCACTAAAATCTAGATACAGAACATTTACATCACCCCAAAATAATTCCCTCAGGTTGTCCCTTCATGGTCACTCTCCCTGTGCTAACAACTCCTGGTAATTACTGATCTGTTCTCCATCCCTATAGTTTTGTCTTTTCAAGAATCCTATATAATAAAGAGGTAATATGCAAATTAACTCATGCCCTCACAAGGTGGCTTCCTATAACCAAGCCGGCAGAGGAGTTAGTGAGGGACAACCAAACGACTGAAAAAGCAGGCTGTGTAGGACAACCAGGCTGGCAGGGGGGGCTATGAAGAGTGACTAGGCCAGCAGGGGGTCAGTTAGAAGTGACAAGGCTGGCAGGGGAGCTAGTTAGGGGTGACCAGGCAGGCAGGCAGGCAGGCAGGTGAGCGATTAGGAGCCAGTGGTCCAGGACTGTGAGAGGGATGTCCAACTTGTTGGTTTAGGCCTGGTCCCTGGGATTGGGCCTAAACTAGCCATCAGACATCCCCCAAGGTGTCCCAATTAGAGAGGGTGCAGGCTGGGCTGAGCCCACCTCCCCTCCACCCCATTGCATGAATTTTGTGCACCAGACCTCTAGTTTCATATAAATAGGATCAGAGTATGTAACCTTTTGAGACTTGCTTCTTTCACTTGGCATATTTCCTTTGGGACTCATCCAAGTTGTTGCATGTATCAACCATCCCTTTTTATTGTCGAGTAGTATTCCATTGTATGGATGTACTACAGTTTATTTATCCATTCATCTATTGAAGGGCATTTAGATTGTTTCCAGTTTGAGATACTTATGAGCAGAGCTGCTATAAGCCAAGGGATGGAATTGCTGGATCAAACAGTGTTTTACTTGGTTTTCATTTAAAAAAAAAAAAAAAATATATATATATATATATATATATATATATATATATACACATATATATATATATAATTGATTTTTACATAGAAGGAATTGAGAGGGATAGAGAATTAGAAACATCAATGAGAGAGAAACATCGACCAGCTGCCTCTTGCACTGGGGATGTGCCCGCAACCAAGGTACGTGCCCTTGACTGGAATCGAACCTGGGACCTTTCAATCCACAGGCCGATGCTCTATCCACTAAGCCAAACCGGTTTCGGCTGGTTTTCATTTTCTAAAACAACTTAGACCCAGTCTAATTTCCTTTAGGTCATTTTTTGCTTGGCTGGTGTGGTTCAGTGAGCATCCACCCATGAACCTTGAGGTCACTGATTTGTGTCCCAGTCAAGGCACATGCCCAGGTTGCAGGCTCAATCCCCAGTAGGGGGCATGTTGTATGATCGATGATGTTTCTCTCCCATCAATGGTTCTATCTCCATCCTTCTCTCTCTCTCTTAAAAAAATCAATAAAAACATTTTTTAAGCTTTAAACCTATTTTTTTTATTATATTCTTGCCAGAGGTATAATGACTACCAACCATATCTAATCCTTAGTCTCATTATACCCATCTTAATATTATCCATATGTTATCATATTGAGATTTTTTTTCATTCTCGCCTGTTTCATTTTATTAATCCCTAATGTTTTTGTTTTTTAATTTCTAAAGCACACTTCTCCTTTTGATTACTTAAATATAAATTGTTAGAAGGTCCATTTAACTTAATCTAACCAATTATTAGCATTTATAAGCTTTTGCATCTATTGAAATTTTAAAATATGTAAACTATTTTAACAATTACTGTATCCAATAAGCTAAAACAGAAATCACTATGCAGAAGAAACATCATACCCCTTGACTGTGTTCTTTTTGTAAACTGTCTCTGTTCTCACTTTACTATTAGGAAAAAATAATCTGTTTTTATGTGGTATGACTGAATGTGAATCATGTTCAGTTCCTTCCCCTATTTCCCCAATTCCCAGTGGACCTCTGGATAGAGTTACCACTTAGCAATATAAGGTGACAAATCAATGAACATTAAATCTGTTTCTGGGACAATCCTTTCACCAAAATTAGGGAAACTAGGAGAGAATTGTCATTCACTGACTTAAGAAATGCATCTAATAAGTATAAGAATTCCTTTAAATAGTGAGATAAGAAATGAACAGTTACTAGTATATGATAGGTTATTCACTTGCATCAGTATGTAATGTGTATATTTGTTTTATGGCTATTAAATAAGAGGTTCTGGAATATCATTACAGTTTGCAGACTTCTGAGAATGTAGTTCTAACACCTTTGTAAGGCTACAACCATGATTAGACTTGCTGTATTTATTAGTCAATATGGAGTGAAGTCCATTATGGAAAGTTTTGCTTTGCCTTTTGGGTTAGTTTGTTTAATATATTCAAATTATTTGAATTATTTGCCCTATAATATAATTTCTTCCCTTACTAGCTTGGTGCTAACAGTGGTTTGCACATCATCATCTTTGATGAAATTGATGCCATCTGCAAGCAGAGAGGAAGCATGGCTGGTAGCACAGGAGTCCATGACACTGTCGTCAACCAGTTGCTGTCCAAAATTGACGGGGTAGAACAGCTGAACAACATCTTAGTCATTGGTATGTTTGCTTAAAAAAAAAAAGTGCTGTGACTTCAAAAACAGACACATGGGTTTGGAATTAAGATGTGTATAGATTGTAATTATACTACTTTGCCAATGTTTCCAAATTAGAATCAAGTGTTATTGAAGACTTGACTATTTTAATGTCTAGCCTTAACAGGACAAATGTAAGGTGGGTTTTAGGGACTCATAGGTTTAAGCATATAATTCACCCATTTAAAAGGCAGCACAATGTAATGCAGTGGTTTTCAAAGTGGGTCTTGTAGGCCTTTTGGAGTTTTCAGGGTGGCTTCAAGGTCTGTGAGGCCCAGGGAATGAGCTTCAGATCATGCATCTCTATGCGTATCATAACTTCGTCTTTTAACTATTTAGGTACTGAGGTTCTTTTTAAGATAACTTTTGTGGGAGGAGGAAGAAGTCTGTTGTTTATAAAGGTTGAAAACTATTGGCTACAAAAAGGGGAAGGGACTTTGGGTCAAACATGTTCGTATTGCCCCTCTCTCACTTTGACAGGTTACTTGCCCTCTCTGAATCTTAATTTTTATTTTTAAATATTTGAAGTTTTTATTGTATTTATATATCATTGGCTTGTACAGTAGTACAATAACTAAATTTGTAACAAAATAATTTATAACTAAAGCAAAGTCTCCAGGTATTTTCATTAGAACATGTCAAGAACAAGTGATACTTATATTTGAGAATAAATTGGTTTTCTGTTTGACATATAAACTGTCCTCGTAGCTTCTAAGGCAAATTACTAATCTTAAAAATACTGAAGGGACATTTTATCTTATTTTTGAACTGTAATCATTTGTATGTTTTAACATCTATCTCTGTTCAGGAATGACCAACAGACCAGATCTGATCGATGACGCTCTCCTTCGACCTGGAAGACTGGAAGTTAAAATGGAAATAGGTAAGTAGACCTGTCACTGATGGCGTGGGAGTGGGGGATGTAGAGTTCATTAGCAGAAGCAAAATCGCACAACTCAGTGGTTTAATGTTTGTTAGAGAAGTTACATATTATGAGAAGCAGATGTATCTATAAGAAAGCATTAGGAATAAAATAATATCTGCCTTATTTTCAATTTTATCAGGCTTACCAGATGAAAAAGGTCGACTACAAATCCTTCACATCCACACAGCCAGGATGAGAGGGCATCAGTTACTCTCTGCAGATGTAGATATTAAAGAACTGGCCACAGAGACCAAGAATTTCAGCGGTGCTGAATTGGAGGGTCTGGTGCGAGCAGCACAATCCACTGCTATGAACAGACACATAAAGGTCAGTCACCTAATAGATTAGGAATCTGCAGCCCTGTACATACTGTGCCAGGGCTCTTTCTCTTTCCTTTCAAGCATACCAAGGGCTAAGGGTGGTGCTGACTTTTGATAGAGAAAGTTCATGGTAAAAGGAATAGTAATTAACTGTCCACTGATAAATCTTCAGAGTAGCTGGAAAAATAACGGTAGTATGTGCCCCATAGTAACCACTGACCCTTCATCTCCCTTAGGTTGCCTCCATCTGATCCATGTGAAGATGAAGGCTTTGAACTATTTGTGCTGTATTGAGTTGTAACATGTCATACGAAATTAGATTTTCTACATTTTAGAATTATGAGGGCTGCTTCTTTCATCAAATATACAGCATAATTGCTATTTTTGAGGTATTTAACTGGAGACATGAAGATAATAAAGCATGGCCTCTCCCCTAAAGGAATTAAAAGTCAGGGGAATGGGCATGTTTGCAAATTAGAACAAAAATGTATTGGTACTCTAGTAGAAATATATAGGAGGATACTTTTATTTTGATGAATAATCACCTGTAGATAAGTGACTTCCAGATTTATGTCTTATCTCTTGAAAGTATATCTCCCACTTTCAATTTATAATTAAATAATTCAACCTGGATGTTTTGTTTATTTTAAATATATTTTTATTGATTCAGAGAGTAAGAGGGGGAGAGAGAGAAACATCAATGATGAGAGAGAATCATTGATCTGCCAGTCTTTTTTTTTTTTATTGCTTTCCTTTTTGCTCCTATTTTGCTGATATCTCAATTTCCCAGATTTGAAACTTCACAGTTCTCTTTGATTCCCATCATTCTACTGTATCCCACATCAACTCATTTGCCAAATTTTGTCAGTTCTACCTTGGCAGTATCTTTCAGTTCTCATTGTCACTATCCACCTTCTATTTGATTAATATTCCTACATCATATCATTCTACCTTTCTGAAACTTTCAGTGAGGCACCTTTGTCTACTGAACAAAGTACAGACTTCTTAGCCTTGTCTTTAAGGTCCTCTAGACCTTATTCTAGGCTACCTTTCCAGATGTGTTCCCAGTTATTCTCTACACACTTTAGTCAAATTGAAATACTCAGTGATCATCAGACATTAATTTATCTTTCCACTTCTCTGCTTTTTTACCTTCTTCATTGAGAGTCTGTACCATCTCTTTTTATTTTTCAATACCTGATTCATATGCTACAATTTTCTCCAAATCTTTTCTGATTCTTTCTTTCAAAATAATGTGTTATTGTCATTCCTAAAATAGAAGTGTATCATCTAGGGTACCTTCAGTTTTCTTTGGTTCAGAATAGATTTATTCAGCATCTATTGTATGCCAGACACTGTGCCAGGGGTTAATACTACAACTTCACAGAAGTAAACCATCTACTTTTGAGCAGTTCTCAGTCTGTCCTCCACATAGAAAGTACATGGGAGGTGAGGAAGAGAAAGGTGTCAGATGTGGTCAGTTCATGGGGTGAGAAGAACTTTCACAGAGAAACTTCCGTTCATTTAGGTAGAAGGGACAACATATGCAAAGTAACAGAGACACAAAATGGCATGATGTGCTAGGGTAATTCAGTATTACTTCAGCATGAAAAGCAGGGAAACGGTGGTAGAGAGAGATATTGTGAGGAGACTAAAGCAGGGGATGGAGGACAAAGAGCCTTTTATACTGTGCTAAGAAGTATGCACTTTTTTTCTGTGAGTAGTGCTAAGCCATTGAAGAGTTTAAAGAATAGCAGTGACATAGTGTTAAAACATAAGATCATTCTGGCAGCTGTATCGAGTGGAGTATTTAGGAGAGTATTTAGGCAGCTGGCAACACAGACAAGAGATAGGAATTTTTATAACAGTTCTTATAGGAAATAATAAAAGCCTGCACAACTAGGTTGAGTATGTTCTAGTTATTGGGGAAAATTCTAGCAATGGTTCTAAACCAAGGGTCAGCAAACTCTGATCCATAGGCCATATCTGACCAGTCACCAGTTTTTATAAATAGTTTTTTAGAACACAACCACACCTATTCATTTATGTATTGTCTGCGGCTGCTTCCATTCTACCATGGCAGGGTTGAGTATTTGCAACTGAGACTGCAATGGCCCACACAGCTTAAAATATTGACTATCTGGCTCTTTACAGAAAAAGTTTGTCAACCTTGTTCTAGACTTTAAGTCTGTATCTTATTCATCTCTGAATCTCCCACAATATTTCAAATGGGTCTAAGTACTGAGAACATAGTGGGTGTTTGGTAAATATTTTTTAAGTTAGTAAACTTATATATGTATTCTGAATTAAACTATTTATAAGTCATAATTTCCCTACATAATAGAAATGACTTTGTTCTAGATCAAGAATGCCATACTAGAGGACACTTTATTTATTTTTTAAATATATTTTTATTGATTTAAGAGAGCAAGTGAGAGGAAGAGAGATATAGAAACATCAATGATGAGAGGGAATCATTGATCAGCTGCCTCCTGCATGCCCCTTACTAGGGATTGAGCTCGCAATCCAGGCATGTCCCCTTGACTGGAATCGAGCCCAGGACCCTTCAGTCTGCAGGCTGATGCTCTATTGGCTGAGCCAAACCAGCTAGGGCAGTGGTCGGCAAACTCATTAGTCAACAGAGCCAAATATCAACAGTACAACGATTGAAATTTCTTTTGAGAGCCAAATTTTTTAAACTAAACATCTTTTAATGCCACTTCTTTAAAATAGACTCGCCCAGGCCATGGTATTTTGTGGAAGAGCCACACTCAAGGGGCCAAAGAGCCGCATGTGGCTCGAGAGCTGCAGTTTGCTGACCATGGAGCTAGGGCAAGAAAAACACTTAAGACAGATAAGAAAAACCTCTTTAAAATATTGGAGACAGTAGGAGGAAGATACTAGTATCATTGCATTATTTTTAAATGCCAATAATCTAAGTAATGTGGAAATGTAATATTGGGACCTTTATAAAGTAGATTTTTTCTTTTTCTTTCTTTCCTTGTCATAAGAAACTTCTTGATAAGAAGTGATAGTGACTTCAAGAAATATTGAGTAAATGATGTGAAAATTGTTTTCCATCTTACTGATCCTTCACCTCAAACCACATTAGTGCTTCTTGATATAATCCACAATAACTACCATGTTTCCCCGAAAATAAGACATCCTCCGAAAATAAGACCTAGCGCATGGAAAGACATCCCCTGAAAATAAGACTTAGCGCAACTTTGGGAGAAAAAATTAATATAAGACACTGTCTTATTTTCGGGGAAACAGGGTAGTTTATTAGTTATCAGATTTTTCATAGCATTAGCCACCAGATTTTTCTCTTATTACTTGCCATTTTCACCACCATAATCTTATCCCAAAATGTTTCTAAGCTATCTTCTCATTAAGAAACATATTTTCTTTAAGCTTACATTAGTTTTATACATGAAACAATAAGATATGGTGGAAAGAATATATATTTTATAGTCCTAAGGTATGGTTATACATTACACTTCTTTCACTTTTTTGTTTTTGCTCTGTCAAAGGGCAATAACTGCATATTTCATCTGGATTTTTGTGAAAATGAAATCAAATACTATATTTGGAAGTGCCTTATAAACTATATCAATGTTAGTTCTTTACAGTTTTGTTATTATTGGCTGATTTGAGAGAATACCATATACATCCTTTTCCATATCTGAGTTTCTGGGTTTTATTGACTATTTGCAGTTATCATTTTTCTAATTGTAAAGTCAATATGTTAGTTAAGACTATACAGAATATATTATCCTTCAGATTTACAAGAAAGAAGTAGTGCAAATAGTGGACATTATTTCCCTTTTTCCACGTGGCTGAATTATCTTTAAACTTCAGGTGATGCATATTGACTTGTGATCAACATCTTTGGTACCAAAGAACTTTTTAATTTTTTACAGTATCTATGGGATATTTAATACAAGGGACCTGTAGGCACTTCAAGGAATATGGAAGGATATGTAAGACACTAACTTCATCCCCAAAAATAAATAGTACTAATAATATTTCCTTTTCTGCATTTAAAAAAATCTGTATTGCCAAAAGTTCTTTCAATACAGTTTTCCTAAAAGACTCCTCTTCGGCTGAACAAAAGGCATACAGTTTTAGTATTCCCATTGCTGTAAATGTTCATAGTTTTACTAGTAATGATTGATGAGTAATTTGAAACTTACGATTTAAAGTTGGTGTAAAACTTAGACACAACTTTCAATTGTTTGTTATGATGATCTTCCTTTGTATTATAAAAAGCCATTATTAGGGTTTTTTTATTTGTTTGTTTTTGCTTCCTTTGCAAAAGATTTAGGTTCAAAGTAAATCAAGTGGACTAAACTAAACAGGTCTTCCCTGTTAAATTGTTCTTTCAGGTTTTTCTGAAACAAGTGGAAAATCCCATCATGAACCCCCGATGTTCATGTCATTTGTAGTTGAAACCATGTTTGTGACATGAACTAAAATTCATGTGACATTAGGTTGTTTTTTTTCTTGAAAGGAATTTCTGCTTCAGGTAGAGAAGATTCATAACCCTAATTTTTTCTGCTCTCATCTGCTGTAAGAAAGTAAATTGAGGACACACACAGGCACACACACTTTACAACTGAATCGAAGCTCTGATTTATGTTTGCAGAACTTCAATAAAATTATTTCTTATTTTCTGTAGAATTTTGATTGATTAAGGTCATTGTACCCTTAATTTAACAGGAATGATAAGAACTTTGAAAGGTCAGATTTAAAAGGTTATGAAATTTAAGGGTGACCACTTGATATTTGCTAGTGTTGAAATACAAGTTTATTAGTTTCAGCAGGTATAAGCTGAAAGACATTGCCTCTTCTATATTGATTAGCTGTTATAAATAAAATGCAGAGGAAAATCGCACTAATTCAGAGAAAAGGTTTTCTGAATGAGTAAAAATTCAGAATTTCAGCATTTTTAAAATAAGGTTTTACTTATCTGATAACATAGTAAAAAATTAGCTAAGCGAAAAATTATCTTAATGAATAGTCAGGAATAATTCACAATTGTATTATTGGTTATTTATAACTAGTTAACTTTTGAAGTTCTAGGCATATCTAAAAACAACTTGTTCTAAAATAATTCTACTCCACCTATTTTAATTCGCTTTGAATTCACTGAGAGCGTCTTTTTTTAGTAGTAAAAAGTTGCACACTAGCTTCAGTACTGAAATCTATCATATTTTTTGGCAAATGTTTAAAGATAGACAAGATTTTCCCTTCATATTGCAATATGTTTCTGTCTTTTGTTTCACTATAATAGGAAATCCAAATACAAAACATTTTAGTAAAAACTTAGGACTGTTTTTATAGGGAGAGATTATTTAAAATTAGTTTGGTAGCTTCATTGGGATTTTAATGTGATTCTGTCAGAACTGCTTTCTTCACTTTCACTTTGTAGTATTCTTTTAGATGTGTCAAAAAGTCTTAATCAGAGTTTGAAACCTTTATATAAAGTTACCTTTACCCCCAAAATTTAAGAAACCTTTCAAGCTTATATAAAGACAACATGAGATAATGTATCTGAATATACTTTATTAACTATAAAGCTAAAAGATGTATATATTATGAACATTATAATTCTTTTAGGAAAATAAACTTAGAGATGTCAGAAATGTGATCAATATTTATTGAATATCTAATGTCTCAATGAAAACTGTATTAATAATTGAAATGCTAATTATTCTCTTTATTTAAACAGAATATTAGTGCATCTACTTAAATGTTGCTTGTTACCTGCTCTCTTTTTTAAAATATAAAAGTCATATATGAATATATTCTCTTTGTAGAAGACCTAAGGATGCCAAAGTATAGGGGAAAGTGAGACAGGCCATCTCTAACACCCAGAGGTAGTCAGCATTTGGGCTATGCCTTTGTAGTCTATTTTTTTTTATATTTACACTCAGATACATATGCACTTTAAAAAAAGCGAATGGAATTGTACTGCAGTTCCTATTTTTCACTTGACAGTGTGACTTGGCTAGCTTTCCATGTCAGTATATGTAAGTCGTTATTATTTTGCTCAATATTCTAGGCAATTACAACACAATTTCAAATGTAAGATCCATAAGGGCAGGAACTTTTGGCCTTACTGCTATTCTGTAGAGCAGCAATTTTCAACCAGTATGCTGCAAGAATTTTTAAAACATGCAATACCTGACTAGTCACGGGCACTGACCTCTTTTCCTTTAAGATTGTCAAATAAATAAAATTACAACAGCAAACACAATAGCTCTCTGGTATGAATGAACCAAACTTATACTTTTTTGGTGTGCCACAGGATTTTAGGAATTTGTGTACCATCAGATGAAAACGGTTGAGAATCGCTGCTCTAGTGTCTAGAACAGTGCATAATACTGTTATAAAAATTCTTGCCTGTGTCTCCCTGTGTACATGTGGAAATCATTATTTAGGGGAAATAGTCATTGTATTTTCTAAATGTGATTGATTATATTGTCTTCTAGTTTCTACTGTTGTGAGGTTCCATTTCAATTAACCAGTTTTTGTCTCTCATAAAGGTTCTAGAACTTTCTCTTCACCTTTAGTGCTCTGATACTTCAAAACACTGTCTAGACAGATGTAGGTTTTTTTTTGTTTGTTTGTTTTTTTCATTTACACTGATCAGCTCTCATTGAACCCTTTAAGCTGCAAAAACAGAGCTTTCTTCAGCTGAGGAAATTTTTTTTTTCTTCTCTCTTTTTTCCTACCTCTCTCCTCAGACTCCTCTGGCTCAGTGTGAAAAATTCTGCATATACATGCTTTTTAACCTTTCTTTCTTAACTTTCTGTCATTTCATGGATTTGGGGAAGGAAGGCAGATAAGTAAATGTGTTCTGTTTGCCATGTTAATCCAGTTTTCTGACCTAGTTCTTCTTATCCCATAAAGCTTACTTTAAAAAAAAAAAAAAAATGTTTGTCACCCTGGTTGGGTAGTTCAGTTGGTTAGTGTCAGCCTAGTATGCCAACGTTGTGGGATCAATCCTGGGTGGGGACATGCAGGAATCAACCAATGGATGCATAGATGGATGGAACAGATCAATGTTTTGTGCGCGCGCGCGCTCTCGCTCTCTCTCTCTCTCTCTCTCTCTCTCTCTCTCATCCTCTCCTTCCCCCCCCCCAAATAAATAAATAAATAAACAAATGTCTGTTGTTTTATTTGTCTCAGCAGTCTATTCCTAAAGGAACATGACTCATATTTTATAGTAATCAATGGAAGGTTGATATTATTTAACAAACTTTTGTTTTATAATCAGATTTTTTAAGATAACTTTTTAAAAATCATGGTACCATTTTAAATATTAGACTCACTTGGCTGCTGCTATTGGGAGTGAGCCCAGTCACATTGAAAACAGTGTTGGTATCTCGATCACTCATCAGGTCCAGGCAGCTCCAAGTGCTGAGAAAGGCCTTGATGCTTCTCCAGATGTCTGTGTGAAGTAGCAGCTCCAGGTGCAGAAAGCAGAATACTTAGAGCTGCCACGTAGATTCTCAAGCACAAAGTATGAGTATAAATCCAAGTTGTAGGTCCTTGGTCTCCTAGAATAATGGTTTACAAACCTGATCGAGTATCAGAATTACCTGTAGAACTTTATAAAAATTAAATGCCTGGACCTTCTTAAATCAAAATCCTAAAGGGGCTGGGACTGAGTGTCTTGTGTATCTATAAAGGCTTTAGAGGTTCTTTGGGTATAAGAATGACAGCTAGAGTTCTTAGAGACACTCTGTATATATTTTTTCCCTCCTTATGCCTCATTTATAAAGAAGTGGCTATCCAATGTTCTTTGGTACATAATTGATTTATGTGTCATAATTGACTAACTGGTACCTGCTTGGTGGACATTTAATTTGCTTCTAGTCTTCTGCTATTACAAGTCACTGGAGTAGATGTCCTTATAACATTGCACACATCTGTGAATATACCTACGGGATAAAATCCTAGAAGTGAAATTATTCAGGCAAAGATATATACGTTTGTGAATTTGAGAGGGATGCTATTTACCTGTGAAAGTATGCTTTTCAAAATCTTTAGGTGTTACATTCTTAGGCTAAAAATATTCTTAAATCTTAGAAATCCTTACGTTGTGTTTTCATTTCTAACTAGGCCAGTACTAAAGTTGAAGTGGACATGGAAAAAGCAGAGAGCCTGCAGGTGACAAGGGGAGATTTCCTTGCTTCTTTGGAGAATGATATCAAACCAGTGAGTATGAATACTGAGTGATGTATAAGCCCCAAATAAAAATAAATCAGAAGAAAAATAGCTGCTATTTTACCAGTATTGTGGAAGGTTATATCACATGAAGTTTTTAAAAATAAAAAATAAAAACTTATTAGAAGTGTTCAATATAAGAATCATTCAACAATAACTCAGTAAGTAATTAGCCAATACTTACTGAAATATTTCTCATGATAGGGAGTGCACCATCTGTTAGACCGACCATCCCATTTTGAGGCTTTCTAATTATTAATTTTTTATAGTGAACTATAAATAATTTTCTCATTGGTTCTTATACAACCTGAAGCTGCTGAAAGCAAAATTCATCCTAATTCATCAGTCCCCCATTATGTTATATTTAAAATTAGCTCTCATGCCGAAACCGTTTTGGCTCAGTGGTAGAGTGACGGTCTGTAGACTGAAGGGTCCCGGGTTTGATTCCAGTCAAGGGCATGTACCTTGGTTGCAGGCACATCCCCACTAGGGGGTGTGCAAGAGGCAGCTGGTTGATGTTTCTCTCTCATCGACATTTCAAGCTATCTCTCTCCCTTCCTCTCTGTAAAAAATCAATAAAAAATATTAAAATAAATAAATAAATAAAATTAGCTTTCATATTCTCCTCTCTCTACCTTTCTTGAATCTCCCCAAGGCATGTCTTTTTCTTACTCATTACCTTTTGGTCCTTAACTGCTATAGTTTCTAAAAACTCTTAACCATTCTAAGTGCCCTTTAAAATAAAAAGGTTGTCGGTTTTGTTTTAATGTGCTCACTAGTCATAGTTGGAGCTTTAGAATACAGTATAAGATCATTAACCCACCCTATATAATAAAAACCTAATATGCCGAGTGTCCAGTCATCTGTTCAACCAATCAAAGCATAATATGCAAATGATATGCTAAGGCCACTCAACAGCAATGACCACCAGGGTACAGTCGACCAATCGCTATGAAGTGTACTGACCACCTGGGGGCAGACGCTCCAACTGGTAGGTTAGCTTGCTGCTGGGGTCCAGTAGATTGGGACTGAGCCAGATGGGCTAGACACACCCTGGAGCCCTTCCTCAGTTCCTCTCCAGCTGGCCAACCTCCCATATCCCTCTCTGGCCCTGATCATATACCAGTAGGGTCCCTCAGTCTGACTTGTGCACTCTCACAATCCAGGCCCCTTCAGGGAACCTCAAAGAGCCGGTTTCAGCCCAATCCTGCAGACAATTCCAAGGGACTCCACTGGGGCACAAATTTATGTGCTGGGCCTCCAGCTTTTTCTATAAAATAACCACTAATGTTTGTTTACTCTTCATTGAGTAGCCATTGTTTGGAGTCTTATATTAGTACAAACAAACAAAGTGCAGGAAGGCCTCTTAAAGAGGTATGTATGTTTGGTTTTCTTTTTTAAATGGATCTCGGGTGCACAGAATTGGATTAATCTTAATTTTTAATTTGTGACACACTGTTGTCATTAGTCTACATGGGATATAAAATAAAGTACAGTGCATGTAATTTAGGGGGAATTGCTATTTTATTGCATATTCTATAACCAAGAATAATCCATATGATTTTCTGTAGCTATACATCATTCCTTTTCTTTTTTTTCAATAAAAAAAATTTATTTTCCAATTACAGATGTTATAAAATACTATATTAGTTTCATATGTATAATATAGTGATTAGACATTTTCATTCCTGAATAGCATTGCATTATGTGACTACCACAATTTATCTATTTTCCTGTCAATGAGCATTTGGGACATTACCAAGTTTTTATATTAAAACAAGTGTTGCTATGAGCATTCTTGAACACGTTTCTCTTAGATATATATTAAGGAGTGAAATTGCTGATTTGTTGGGTATATAAATGTCCAACTTCAAATGGAAGAATTTTAAACTTTTTCCAGTGGTTGAACCAGTAAGTACTTTCCCCTGTAATGTAAAAGAGATTCTGTCACTCTGTATCCTCTACAACACTTGGTATTGTCAGACTTAATTTTTGCCATTCAGTTGGATGTAAGATGGAATCTCATTTTGGTCTCAATTTGCGTTTCACTGATTACTTACAAAGGTAAGCATTTCTCCATGTACTTATTAACCATGAGTGTCTTTCAATAGATGCTATTCATGTCTTTCCCTATTTTTCTATTGTATTGCTTATTCTTTATTTTTATTTTATCTGTATAAGTTCTTTATATATTTTTGACAATAATTATTGTTACAAGTATCCCTTTTAAATACAAAAATCAGTTTGTTTTAGCTCTATTTTTTTATTACTATTGTGACTTTTAAATATAAATATTTACTTTCAGAAGTTACTAAGCAATGGAAATGGTTACTCTTTTACTGTTGTCATTTGTAATAGATACCAAAAATATTAGAACCCAGTCTAACTGATGTATTTCAAGATTTTTATAATGACAAATAATTTGGCTACAAAAAAGGGGAAACTAAGATGACTAAGTTAAGTAGGTAGTAAGTTTCTTTTAATTATTCCATGAGTATGGGGGAACAAAACAAAAATGAAGTGGCAGGATAAATAAGGAAGACTCATACATATTGTGTAGCCTGGTAGGGAAGGTCTCTGTTTCCTGGTTCAGGTATCTTAAAGCTGCCACTGTAAGACTTAGAGTGTATACTTGGAATAAATAAAGACAAGAGTCAGCCAATCCATATACTTCCTATAGCAGTATTTATTAGGCTCTTCCTTCATAACTTTTTAGAGGGCCACTGAATGCACCATATCCAGACCAAAGAATGAAGGTTTCCCTTTGTACTCGGGAATCAAAGGACTAATGTATGCAAAAACCAAAGAGAAGTCTGAGAAATGCTTTGGTAGCAAAGAAAGAGAGTAATGAGACTGTTGTATACTGTTTAGAAACACTAAATTAACTTGTTGAAGGATGTAATAGTTTAAAATTCTCAAGACATAGGACCTTTACATTACATTTTGTTATGTCTTTTCCTTTTAACCTTATGAAAATTCAATTAAGTAACTAAGTACTGAAGCTATTGACTACTTTTAGCAACTGGCTTGATGGGAGTTCCAATATGAGATTAGAAGTTGAAAATGAAGAGAAATGTGATTTAAACTCAAATATGTAGTGAGAACAATTAAAATTATTACATATAATAATTGCTTTTATCTTCCTAGCCCTTCAATCTTTGATTACAACTGCTCATTCCTATCTCATTTAAAATCTTATATTTACACACATACATTTACCTTGGTTCCATTTAACTTGTAACCCCTTCCAAAAACTGATGCGGAAAGGATCTCCTCATTACCGTTTTACATTCCCATTTTAATCCATGATATCTACAGTCAGAGTTAGGATAGTGTCTTTGTCTGCTGAGACAAGGGTTTCTAATTTCAGAATCCATAATCTCTTTTTCCTTAACAGAAGGCAACAGCCATGTACTCCTTAAAGAACTAAGCACTTAGGGACATATCCTTTCTCAGGTATTATGACAGCTTGGACTCTGGTAGAATCTGAGCCTAGAATCTATTGTTTCTTCTTAAGTAACCCAAAGCAGCTCCTCCCCTTCCCAATTTGATAAAAAGTGAAATGCAAAATTATAAAACACTGGTTTTTTTGGTGTGCTTTTCAGGCTTTTTACAATGAGATGGGATATTGCTCAACATTTTCATTGTGCAGGAATAAAGTATTTTGAGCAAAGTATTTATATGCTCAAAATGTTTTAAATTGTCCTTTTCTTCCATAGGCATTTGGCACAAACCAAGAGGATTATGCAAGTTACATTATGAATGGTATTATCAAGTGGGGTGATCCAGTTACTCGTGTTCTAGAAGATGGAGAGCTGCTGGTCCAGCAGACGAAAAACAGTGACCGCACACCATTGGTTAGCGTCCTATTGGAAGGTGAGAAGAAATTATGAGATGGCATTAAAAGTTAAAAAACAAACAAATAGTACTTTTACAAAGCCATTTAGACATTTCAGAAAAATGAATTATTTTCATTTTTAATAATGTTCATCATCTGCAAATAGTAATCCTTATATGTGTACCAATAATTGTGCATCTGTTCAAGTCCTGTTGAGGACAGAAAGTTACTGATGAATGATAGCAACTCATTTTCTTATAGGATTGTATCTAAATTTCTATGTTACTTAATAGCACTGGTTTCAGTTAAATAAATATTCACTGAGTACTTGAGTAGTTGCTGGCAATACAAAGACATGCATGTAGTTCAATTTGGTCATAAAAAAAGACTTGTAAACCAAGTCCTAACTACAATATATATGTGTAAAGATGTGTGTGAATGCCAAGTAATTTTTTCCATCAGTGTTCAAGTTAATTTAACTTAGTGCTTAATTTAGGTGGTATTTAATTTAGACTTTGAAAGATCAGATAGGGCTTTACCAAGTAGACAAAAGAGAAAGACAGTCTCTTCATCAATTGTTTATTTACAATAATAATTAATACAACGGAAAAATTCAGTGAGTCCACATCACAAGGGGATCTAGCCCTTCTCAAAGGTCTGGGGTAGGCTCACTGAGAGAAACACATGACTCCAATACCTAAAGGATGAGGAGAAGGTGGCCTGGCAAAGTAATCAGGGAAGATGTTTTATGTAGAGAGACTATCATGTGAAAAAGCCCTGAGCCGGAAGGAGTCTAAAGCAGAAAGGAAGACTTGCTAGACGTGAGACTGAAGAAGTAGACAGAGCCAGTTCATACAAAGCCTTGTAGACCATGTTAAAGATTTAAACTCTGTCTGAGGGTCAATGGGAAACGATTTGTAGAGTTTTAAGTGAAGTGACACAATCAGATTTGTATTTTCAAAACATCATGACTGCTTAGTCATAGAGAATGGATTGGAAGGGCAAAAAAAGACACAGAAGAGACCAGTCGTTAGAATCAGTTGCATTAGCCTTTGTTGTAGTTTGATTGTAGTCTGAAGAAACCGTGGTAGTGGAGATGGAAATAAGTAAACCATTTTGAAAAATATTTAGGAGGTAGAATAAAAGAGACTTCATATTATTATTATTATTATTATTATTATTAATTATTAATCACAAGCTATAATTCTTTCAACACTTTCTTTTGCCAGTCACTCTATCAGCACTTTACACATATTACCTCATTTAAATCCACTTCAGTCCTGAGTATAGATGCTGCCTTTATTCCTATTTTATAGAATAGCTGAGCTTAGAAATATTAAGTAACTAGATGAACTATGAGAAAGATATCAAATACAATCCCCAGGTTTCTAGTATGCCTGTTTACTAATATTGGGAGCATTTGTGGAAAGATTTGTGGATGAAGATTATGAATTCAGTTTAGGGCGTGTTGAGTTTGAGGTTCCTACAGAATAATTGAATCGGAAATGTTGAGTAGCCCGCTCCAAAGAGAAGTCTGGCTACAGTATACATTCATGAGGTGTCAGTATATTGACTGTTGTTGAATTCATGGGAGTGGATGAAGTCACTTACAGAAAGAGTATAGATTGAGAAAAAAAGTGGGCCTAGAACTGATCTCTGAAGTGTGTCAACATTTAAGGACAAAGTTGACAAAGGAGACTGAACAAAAGCAACCAGAGAGGTAGGAGGAGGGGGAAAGAGAATGGACTATCATAGAATCCAGGAAAAGTATTTAAAGAAAGAGGAGTTATCAATTGTATCAATTATTCTTAAGAGGCCAACAGATAAAGTATCTGTTAAATTTGGTGACATGGAAGCTATTGATGATCCTTATGGGAGCCTTTCCATGTAATGGGAATGGAAACCATAGGATTTGTTTGAGAGTGGATGGAAGGTGAAGAGTGAAGGCATATGGGAAGGAAGTATTAGTTGGTTTATGGGTGGAAGAGGGACACATCTTTCATTTCACAGAAGGGAAGGAGGAGGAGATGTCTAAATACAGGTAAGTTTGTAGATTTGGTGAGTCTTTAGAATTCTGGCTTTTTAAGCCATATTTGCTTCTAATAAGGCAGTTTTCCCCTTGCCCCCACAATCGTCTCCTAAAATTGTATTGTTTTCTTAGACAAATAGTTTGATAGAACTAAACATAAATACTTATATGCATTTGAATGCACTCCTTTTTTAAAAAGCAAAACATTTGTGTTTTATATATTAAGCAGAATTTGAAAGATTAAGACTATGTGAGAAAGAGAGAAGGAATGTATTTCATCATACTTTTGAGAAATGCTAATCAGTTCATTAAGTTTAGTTGCTAATAAATAAGAGAAAACATGTCTGCCATGAAGTTGTGTCAGGATATGTTAATGAGTAACTAGTTGAGACCTCAGTACCTTATAGATAAAAGTTTAAACTTGTTTTATTTCCCTTTGCTTAGGTTGGCTTTTTTCCCCTGACTTGCTCATATCTTTATGCAGGCCCTCCTCACAGTGGGAAGACTGCATTAGCTGCAAAGATTGCTGAGGAATCCAACTTCCCCTTCATCAAGATCTGTTCTCCTGATAAGATGATTGGCTTTTCTGAGACAGCCAAGTGTCAGTCCATGAAGAAGGTATTAAGATTTTCACTTTCATTTTAATTTCATATCTCTTAGATGTGTGTGTACATATGCACATATATATCTATCTTTGTACGTGTATGTTTGTATGTGTATATATATTATGCCATAGCAACTATGTTCTTCTCAAGTAGAACTAGATTATCAGCAAAATTTGGGAAGAAACAGAAACTATTTTAGATATTTAATTTTGTAATGCATTTTTATTTTATCTTTCAGATTATGCTTTGTTTATACATATAGTGGTTAATTTTCGTTTCTTAAGTTTGTATTGACTTGATTGAAAGATCCTAGTTAAGAATGTTTGAGTAGAGTGGACCAAATTCTTCTTTCATCAGTATATAAAAGTCAAACTATTTGAGGTCAATTAAGTTGACTGTATACAGAAGTGTATCATTGGAAAGATATTTTCAAAAACTCCCATGCAAAGGGATGGCAGTGTATTAGATAATCAAATCTACGTGACAACTTAATGCAGTCCTCATCCTTCTTCCTTTCTCCAAGTGCCATTTGTCAACTTTTCAATATGGCGATTTTGAGCCATAAGTGAGTGATAACAACATAGAATAGACTTCTAGAAATGAAAGGACCATCTGGTCCATCTCTCATACATTCAAGCAAGTGCCATGTAAGACACCTGGGATAGTAGGTGACTGCTCTTTAAAAAACAACAAAAAGCAATGATGAAGACTCTTACTGACTGTTTAATCTCACTTAGTAGCCAGTGTTTCCATTGATATTCTGATTATGTAAGCTCCCAGATAGTGAAGAAATTTTATTTTGTATATAATTGAAGTATTTATTTACTTAAATGTTTTTTTTCATTCTTGATCTTTCCTAGATAAGAACTGACTCTAAGTTAAAGAGATGTGGGGAAATCAGAATCAAGGAAAGAATTCTTGAGAATTGAAGTGCCACTAGCGAAGACAGCTCAGGTGTTCTTTTACGGTGCTCAGAGGCCCTCACTTTAAATAGACATAAGATAGAATTACTTCACTTTTTCTTTAGGAAAGAAACAAGCAGATTCCAAAAAAATGTTTGGAAAGTTAGTCTCTTGTTAGTGCAGGAGGCAGAAAATTATTTGTATAGGGTGGAGGAGGCAGAGTTTGGAGCAGGATTCCAGTCCTATACACTGAAATGTGAAGGTAAGTATTCTATATAAGGGGCCCCGGCCAGGTCAATATATAATATGTTCTTATATATTAAAGATATATTATATATTCTTATATATTTTCAGACTGACCTGGCCAGGGCCCCTTACGTAGAATACTTCTCTTCAGGTATTTAAATATATAGAATATATTTAAATATATAGAATATAGAGACAGAGTTTTAAATATATAGAATATATACAAGAGCATCATCCTGATACACCAAGGTTCTGGGTTCCATCTCCGGTCAGGGCACATATAAGAACCAATCAATGAATGCATAACTAAGTGGAAAAATAAATCAATGTTTCTCTCCCTCTCTTCCCCTTCCTCTTTCTCTCTAAAATCAATAAATTTAAAAATATATTCTATATAAAAATATTTGAAATTGAATATGAAATAGAAGGAAATGTTTTCAGATACCAAAAGAACTTAAGTACCATAGTCAATTTATTCCGTGTCTGAGGTGAAACCAATAGTATCTATTCTCAAGAAAATCTGGGACAAAATCATGAGACCAGTAATTTCCTTGATGCAAATAGGGATTAGTTTTTTTGTTTGTTTTTGTTTTGTAAGTATTTTTCCCCCTTCTAAAGGGAACCCTTAAGCCTTATCCTTTGGTGAAATTTTTAATAATAGCCCTTGGAATCAATGGTCATTTAAATTTCCTTTTAATTGAACAGCTAATTCTACTGGCATGTCTCTAACTCCATCTACTCTTTATACTTGTCAAAAGTAGTCACCTTCTGCCCTGGCTGGTGTAGCTCAGTTGGTTGAACATCGCCCTGTGCACAGAAAGGTTGCTGGTTTGATTGTCAGTCAGGACACATGCCGGGTTTCAGACTCAATCCCTAGTAGGGGGAGTGCAGGAGGCAGGCAATCTATGTTTTACTCTCACTTTCAGTGTTTCTCTCTCTCCCTCTCCCTCTTCCTCCCCCTCCCTCTGTCTCTATAAATCATTTTAAAACTATTTTTTAAAGTAAAAAAAATAAAAAATAGTCATCTTCTGGACAAATTATAAATTACTCCATTGCTTTTCACCAGCTGCCAGCCTTTGCCTCAGATGTACTCTGAGATGTGAGCGGTTGGTCCTAGTTTTTCTATAAAAGTTTTTAAAAAGTACTTTAGGCTCCTGCAGATCAAAGCTGCTTTGTAAGTGTGAGATATTATCATTTTTATTATTTTAATCTCTTGCAAATTGACTTGAGGGGGGGAAGGTAATATGTGCTGATTTTAGAGGCTTAAATGGTTAAATTAATGGCTTAATAACTTACGATTTAATCTTTAAATTGTTGAAGCCTTTCAAGACAGAGTTTTAAATGAGTAGAAGTCTAAGGAATATGAAAATAAGTGTCTATACAAGCTTATTCAACATTGTTTCAATTCATGATTCACTGTCTGGATCATCATGCACCCTTAACGTTACAAAAACATTTTCTGTTTCAGCAGTATAATAAATACATATTCAACTTTTTGGTTTTCCTTGGGGAAAAGATTTTATTCCCTGAAACTAAAGAACAGAACAGCGAAAGAATGAAGCATAGGTGTCTTAGAACTATATTGGAAATATTGCAGAATCTTTCTCTGCAAATAATTTTTACATTGTTCCCTAATGATGGGTTGACAAAAGCCTGAGGACTCAAACCAGTCTAAAGGTGCTAAGTTTTTCAGGTTGCTTCTAAAAATGAAATATAAATGCCATTCTTAAGTAGTTCTAATCTACCTCCCACCACTGTTGTCTTCCCTCCATTTGTAGTGTGAGGATGGGAAGATTTTTAATTTTTTTTTTAAAGCACAAATAATTTATAATGTTTTTATCATTCTGTAGAGGACCATTCTTTATTTATAAGTGCCCCCCCCAACACACCCACACCCACACACCACCCCCAAATTAGGAGAAAATAAAAATGAGTTCATGTTTGTCCTTCAGTTTTCTTCTCTGCTCAGACACACTTACACACACACACATTATGCATTGAGGATCACACTGGATATACTGTTTTAAACTGTCTTGTTTCACTTAATATATTATGAACTTTTGTGTGTTGCCGTTTTTTCTTATCTGGGTTTTGTTTTTAATTTTTATTTATTTTTTAGTTTTTTTCTCTTTTGTTCACTCCCTCCATCTGCCCCTCCATTGTGAACTTTTTTCAATATCATAGAAATGTATCTCACTATTATATTAAATTAATAGCTATACAATACGCATTTAAGCATTCCCTTTTTATTGAATATTTGGTTGTTTCCAGTTTTTCCCCCCAATTACAAATGATATTCTGTGGAACTACCAAACTAGGGAAATTACTGTCACTATTTTCTTATTATATTTTTCTTAGAGTAGCATTATATTTTACTGGCTGAGAACTTGGATTTCAAATAGATATGATTTTGAATCCCAACACCACCACATTTCTTGACTATAAGCCTCTGTTTTCTCATTGGTAAAATTAAGATAATAGTAATAGCTGCCTTATGGTTTATTATGAGAATTAAATGAAATGGTAATCTATGTAAAGTATCACACAATGCCTTGTGATACAATATGTGCTTGATAAAGTGTGGTGATTATTTTTACTTATCATTATTATTGTACATACACTTTAGGTTATTTCCTTAGAATAAATTCTCAGAATCAGGATTGCTAAGGTAAAAATATGAATAATTTAAATATTTTTTAATAATACTGCTACCAAAACTCTTAAGCCAAAATAATAATGAATTATAGGATCGTACCTCTTTAGAAAGTTGAACCAATTTATGCTAGCACCCCATCATTTTAGTGTCAGTTTCCTGGGACACTCAAACACACTTAATGTTATGTAAAATATTTTTTCCAATTTCATAAAAGATTGGCATTTAAGTATTTCTTCAGCCATGTTTTCATGACTAAGTGCTCAGTTTTAAAGATTTTTCAAAATGTTTTGCAACAGTAATAGTTTGTGAAACATTAATTTTTGTTAAAGAAGGATGGTCTGAATAATTAATTCATAGAAGATCTCTGTATACCATTTTATTATTTAAACTAAGAGATAAGGCCATTAGACTTGTTTTAATGAGCAGTACGATTTCATTGTAATTAACTATTGCTTTTTGTTCACATATGGATGGTATTATAATCTATGAAAGTAGTTTATTCTCAATTATTTTAACATTTACCTTACACTGCTCTTAATTTGCTTAATGAGTTCTTTCTCCAGAGGTCAACTTCTCACCACTGCCAATGTGTATGAGATATTATCCTCAGTCTGGGGGTACCTTATGTTCCCTTCACATATCTGAAGTATTTGCAGATCTTTCCTTCGTTTATGTTTGTTTTCCCAACTTCATTCTATTTTAAAATTTTAATTCCAGTATCCATTTTTGCATCTATACTTTTTTTAGAAATTGGTTGTAGTAGTCCTATTAGTGTCATTAAATGAACAAAAGGATAAAGCAATAAATTTTTATTTTAACTCACTACCTAATCTTGATGCTTTTTGAGTTTACAAAAACAAAACAAAACAAAACAAAAAAAACAATCTGATGGGACTAAATTACTTAAATAAAATTAAGTAGAAATATGAGTGATTTATAAAACTATCCCATTAATAACATATTTTTGCTTTTAAAGGATTGAAAATTAATGGAAGGTATTTTCCTTTCCACTAGCTTTGCATGAAAGAAATAATCTTCTTTGAATATCCTCCTCCTGTAAATCCCACTGCAAATTGTAGTCTTCACAGAACAGAATCATGGGGCCTAATCCTCCCTTTTTCGGGGTTTAGTCCATACAAAGAGCAGAGCTGGAAATTGGATCTTTTGACAGCAGTTACTAAGCAACAGAATTTGGATGTTTTTGGTTAA